CGTTGTTGGCACAAGGACCTTGTTTATTGACAGAAAATGGCACAGTTCCCAATCCGAATCGCTGGACGGGTGCGGACTACGTTTGAAGCTCTTTTGGCATGCGTTCTGACCTGTCTCTGAAGAAAATTTCAACCTCATTGCCCTGGATCACGTACGTTCTTTCCTACTACATATGCGCAGAAATTCAATGACGTTGTTGTTTAGCCCGTCGGTGTAGGCTTCTCTTATGGAGCTCTTGTCAACAACAGTTGAACGGCAGCGGTCGACGTTTATGACTTCCTGCAAAAGTTCTTCCGTCTGTTTCCTCACCTCTCGCAGTGAGTCACTCTGCTGAACGATCCTCTAAACTGACCCGTGTAGAAACCAATTTATTCTCTCTGGAGGCTCGTACGGTGGCATTTATATTCCACACATCGCGACTGTCATCCATGAGCAGAATCTCGCTATTGCAAAGGGAAAGGGCCTCCCCGGCGCCGTCCCGATTAACCTCGAATCTATGATGGTGAGTAATCCCGTTTCGGTAGGTGTTCTCCCTTCTTCTTCTTGACACCTTAATTTAACGGGACCTAGGATGCAACTTCCCACTTTACATGGCTACTGCAGATGCGATGCTACAATGTCCCGGACATGTACAATGCCTCCACATGCGCTGAGCTGTTTGAAGTGCTTCCCACTTGTCTCGATGGTATCCGGTTCGCGCAGGAGGGCCCTTGGTTGCCTGACCGACATGTGCGGCGCAGAATACATGCAACCAACTGGTGCTCGGCGACAGACATGGTACTGTCGCTGAGGATGTCCGTCGGAAGGTGTGTGGGAGCGAATTCCTACTATCATTAGAATTGAACCATGCCCAGTGCTACTCCACGGACCCCTTTGGGTGTCTACCGCCACCTTTTGACTGGTTACCTACGTTCTTAAATTGAGCTGAAATCAAAGATGCTCTGGGGATCCCAGATCATCTTAATTTCACGGTGCTCAGCATTCCGGTGTCTGACGAGTTTGAGAAGTACGGAGATTTGTCAGTTTTCATGTTCATCAGATATATACCCTCTTTCTCATGCATTTGTTCAGCATTCAATCTGCCTGCCTCTTATACACTCCGCTCCTTACCGCCGGCATCCGTCTCTTGCGTTAGCTTATTTGTATCCCTCTCCGCCGCGCGATTGCTCAAAGTGTCCGCGCCCAGATTATGTCGGCGCCCAGGATGCCAACTGCGCGTGGCCGGGAGTCTTTTCTTTCGTGTGTTCTTACTTTCTATCCCTTTTTTTTTTTTTTTTTTGGTGGTACGGTGTATCGGCTTGGGTAGCGCAATTAACAATAGGTTAACCCGCTAGGCCGCGTAAGTTTGGAGGAGACGAGACCTCCATGAAGTGTGTGAGGGTCCACCCCCCGAAGGAAATGCAATTACGCACGCGTCGAGTTTGCCGCAGTGTGGGACTCAAATAATGTGTCTAAATCATCCGCCAGGATCTGGGGACGAGGATCTTTGTGATCGCATGGACACTATACCCACTAAAACCTTCGGGTCTACAATCCCTGATATACTATCCCTTATATACCCATCAATATCTTATGCTGCATACAGTTAAAACTTCTCCCATCCCTATTCCAGGATGAGTTCCTCCGCACACCCGATGTTCCGTGGCAAACGGCAGGGGACGCAACTGTGCGTGTGGTCGGCGAGGGCGCGGGGAACATGACATACATTTTGATCGCGCAGGCAGGCCATTTTGTGAGCGACCTCCCACTTTTGGTTCTTTTACTTTCTCAGCCCACTGACGAAATGCAGGTTTCCAGAGACCAGCCCGCACTCGTGAAATCGATTGTTGATCATTGGGTGCCAAACACGCCGTTTTCTTGACTCCAGGTACTCTTCGTCCCCTTCGCCGGTAAAATTATTGGAATACAGCGTGATTAAACCCATATCTCAACTTCTTACTCAGACCTGATTAATTCTAAGTACTGTTCATCTCGCCTCCGTGATAAGCTGATCAGAATAGAACCGTGGTTTAAGGCATTATTCTTGTCCTCCACCGAACGTTGCACGAACCGATCATTGTGCGTGTGGCTGGGACATAATATTCAAGACACAATTAAAGGCCCGCGGGCCTTGCTTACAAGGGCGTTTACCACTCAAGCTTTCCCGTCAATAGGCCGAGCGAGGACAAAGTGGGTCTTCGTGTATCTTCATAGTGAATTCCAGACCCGAGTGATAGTATTTTACTTGCGACTACAGCAGCCGTTCAGTGATCAACCTCAATTTCTGAGAATTCGAACGGCGTCCGCCGGATAAAATCAACCGTGGGAATAATCTTTAAAGCTCATCATAAGCTTTGAATGATCGTCGATCCTGTCGAAAGAAGGATGAATCCACCTCGCAAATATAAATCGAAAGCAAAGGCGTTGGAATTCGGATTACCGGGAAACGACAAAAGTCGACCAACCCTCAAACAGACCGAACGCCCAGGCCTCATTACTCAGCCAACGACTTCTATGCGTGCTGCACTCATAACTGGGCTGTGCTTTGATTATGTGTGTGCCTTCTCTTTCTCATGTCCTCTGTTAGTATCATCTTCAAATCGCCTTGTGAAGCTGATTTATAATGGGAACGTATCTACTGCGGGTTTTGCTGCTTCGTGGGAGGACTCGCTTTCGTTTTCCTTCACTTCAATTCAGCACTCGGTTTGAATCTCCTGATAGGTCACCTATGTCCTTCCTACGTGAGCTACACTTGGATCCGCATCATGTGCCAGATAAATTGGTATGACTGATTGACAATCTTCGCCCGTCCAGACTTCCAACATCGATATGTTTGGGCGTGCGGGCCTGAATCTGGGATTATAATACCTTCGGTAGATCCTACCGTCCTGAATCTGGGATATCCTACCGTCTCGGTGGATCCGTTCGCCCCTTGTCTCTGTCAGTTCAAAGGTCGGTGTGTACCCCTCGGGCTCCAAGATGGATGGTTTATTCCAAGAGCCTTCTGTGATATCACCTCACCTCACCTCACCCTCTTTATAAGATTATGCATGTCTAAAGCCTTTGACGCTCAGACCCTGCCGCTCAACAGCTTTACAGCTCCCATGCCTCATTGAGCATCCCCTCAACCGAAGTGGCGGGACGTAAAGCGCCCCATCGCAATCTTGTCATAAATGATCTTGCTCCCTGTTAATCATCTTTGTGGTACTTCTATCGGGTTGTTCTATCTGACTCCTGCTTTTAAAACCGCACCCGGGAACCTCTCACCTGGTTCCCGCTGTCGTTTCATTCCTTTGCACCCCCTGGTTGGATGACCTCCATGACGATTAATTACATTGTCGACTCAAGCTCATTCGATTCCAAGTGGTGGGCCCTCTCGGCGAGGATTATCGATGCGTGTGTACGTGGGTTCATGAGTGGAATGATCAGAGCCGCTGAGCGACTGCTAGGTTCAACTCATGCTCTATGGTGAGCAGCTCGCATTGTGGTGGTTCCATTTCAGTAATCACCTGGACTGAAGGGATATATGTTGTGCTCTTCGTTCTCGCCATTTACACTCTCTCCAGTCGAAAAAGCACAGGGAAGAAGCTGCTCCTTGGTTACACCTGGATCATGGCCATTTTTGGGACTGTGCAACTGGTCTTATGTCTTGTTGAGCTCTGGATAGGTGCTCGTTGCGTGGAGGTAGACGTCACTGGGAATTTTACATCCCAGCCCGAACTTGCAAAACTGGGGCCTCTTTCCTGGTCGTTGAACACTGCACAAGAGATGATTTTCGCTGGCAATAAGTATGTCGACTCAGTCTCTTCTTCACTCCAACACTGAATGTCCAAATCTCAGCTTGGTGACGGATACTCTGCTCGTTGAGTTTTTTCTTCGCCAAGGGAACTACTACTCACTGGGTTTAGTTATATCGCTGTTTTGTGATATGGGGTTCCGCTTGGCGGCCGATGGTCTTCCCGGGGGTCCTGATGGCGTGTACATTCGGTGAGCTCCCGCATATACTACGAGCAATTAGAGTTGATTCTTTTTGTTCGTCCAGTTGCAGGGTGTGTCAATAATCTCGTTGGTGTGCCCGCCGCTATGTTTCGTCTCCCATACATATTTGCGGCACTCACCAATCTGGTTTTGGTCGCCTTCATCGGTACATTCAATTTACGTCTCATGCCGGTTAATCAATGTCCATCCCTATAGGGGGTCGGATATGGTGCATCCGACAAGACGCTCGACTGGTCGCCGGAGACGAGCTGCGGAAACAATATGATACGGTCATTGCAATGATGTACGTCCTTTCACTCTAGCCGACTCTACTACGTTATTGATCGTCAATAGCCTCGAATCTGGAGCAGTGTACTTAGTTGTGTCGCTACTTCTTGCAGTTTTTCAGAGCGGAATGGCTTTCTCCATCCTACAATCTATTGCAGCACACATGGTTGTCAGTATTACCATATTCTCCATTTGTTCGTTGCAGCCAACTTCATGTCTGCAGAACATTGTGCCGACCTTGATCATCGTCCGCGTGGGACTGGGACATAATATCCAAGGCACCGGCAAAACCAGTCCTGTCAAGGCGGCGAGAAATACGCGCGCAGCCCCGAGATGAGTTTTCGGTGTATCGAACGGGATCACCAATTCCCCATGTGCTTGATACAAAGGCAAGCGAGGACAGCCTAACTCCTTGACCATAATTCTATGTATGGGCTCTGCCTCGACGACAAGCTCACTTGATTTCGTACCATTCATGCTGAATTACAGAGTCAAATTTTATTTATGGCTCTTGTTATCCGGATGATGCCCAGCTTTGCATTCTGAGAGTCGGAGTCCGAATGCGGGGCGTCCGCAGAGTTAATCAACCGTGGGAATATTCTTCAGCTGGGCTAATCGCAACCCATTTTTCACTAAAACTCAGTGCTACTTGACCTTGAAGGCGGGAATCCAAGTGATTACCTCATTTAGTTCACTCAGAAGGAAGGAGGTCAGCACGAGAGAGAGAGAAAAAAAGTATTTTAGATCACCAGCTACGACCCAACCCCGAATTGAACAGGGAACTCTTGCCTAACCTTCATGCGAATCCAACTAGCCAAAGCAAGTGCACTAGCCATTGTACCATTGGGTCGTAACTGTGTGGGATGAGGTTGAGATGAGTAGGCTAGGCGATCCGGGAAGGAAGATTACGTTCGAACTTGAATTCTTGCCGGAAATTGAACGACAACTGAGGTTCGAGATTTTTTGGCTGCCAGTCACAGTAGGACCAGGAAAATTTGTAGCCCTCTCTGAAAATTAATAATCAAGCGAAAGAACGGGAAAAGGAACAAAAAGTTGAATCCAGGTTGAAAACGCGGGCCGCGGCAAACCGGAGTACCGGCACAGGATTTTTACGTGATGGCCTAACGGTGATGCTAAGGTGATATTGCTTTCCTTTTGCGTCCACCCACCACCAACCCCAACTCATGGCCACCGGCGCTTCCTGGACCCTTGTGCGTCTCAATCGAACCCGCTCTGCGTCAGTTGATATCTCTGGGGTAAACGACAGCACCACGTCGCAAACCTTTCTGTCACCCGAGCCTCCACTGGGACACGCCCAACTCGTCCCCATCGTCCTCTTGCCGCTGGTTCAAGCTTCAACCTTCCCCAGTCTTCATATTACGATCTCTCAGTACTGTAATCTACTTGCTCTTGAGGGCCACTGCGCCGCATGGCAATACGAGTCCTTTGTGATTTAACAGGGGAGGTGGTGACTAACCAACCCGTAATTCATGTTAGGCAACGGAATGGCTCGGAAGCAGATGTGTTAATGTTTTCATCACTTGGTATTGTTGGTTGAGTCAAGCGGAGAATTTGCTAGGATGCAGGTCAAGTGTCTAGGGTGACTCGGGTCGAGTTCAGGTATGTTATTCATTCGCTCAGTGCCATCTGCCGAGTGGAGGCACTAGTTTTATAAGGTCATTATACTGCATCGCGACGAATCAGTAAGAGTCACCAATAGGGTGTTTCATATATAGAAATTTGACCCCAACTCGCGCCCCAACTTCGGCCCCAACTTTGGACAAGTTGGGGCAGAAGTTGGGGCATGAAATCGGGGTTTTCTTGCAAGTTGTGCAGAAGGGCGCCCCAACTTGTGCCCCAACTCTGCCCCAACTTGATCCCCAACTTTGGCTAATTCGGGACATCAGACGAATTTACGTGATAGCCGAGGCCTCAACTCTTTTGGAAAATCTACCCAGGTGTTTCACAATTAAAGCCGCAACTCCTGCCTCAATTTGGCTCAAGTTCAGGCCAAGTTGGGGTCAAAGTTCCGGCACAAGTTGGGACACAAGTTGTAATTATGAAACCCCCCGGGAACATCATCGGCAAATTACCCCAACTTGGAGTCCTATTTAGAGGCCTTACACATGCCGCGTGCCTCACTGCGGAAGAATTTGACTTGAGATCAGCTTGCATTAGCCGGCTAGCATACATATGACCCCAATGTGCCTGTTCAGTTGGATCCAGGGCCGTTAAATGTATTTATTCCAAAATTGAAGCAAAAGTTGAGGCAGAAGTTGATGACAAGTCGTGCTCCGATGCACGACTTGACATCCAACTTCTGCCCCAACTTCTGCCTCAACTTCGGGTAATTTCAGTGATAAGCGGAGTCCGACTTGATCTTAACTCCGAAAGTTGAGGCAGAAAAGCACCTGAGGTGTTTCACAGTTAGAGCTCCAACTTCTGCCCCAATTTGACTCAAGTTGGGGTCAAGTTGGGGTCAAAGTTGAGGCACAAGTTGGGGCGCAAGTCTCGACTCCGAAACACCCTAATATATGACCGTGCGAGTCAGTGAAAGTATTTGACTCAGCCGAGCAAGTCAATCTGTTCGGAGTTACGCTGAGTCAGATAAGTGTGTTTGGTTCACTCGATGAGGAGGGGCACAAGGTCGCCCCTTGCCCAAGAGCAAGCCTTTCATGTACAGATCCTTCTAAAGTGAGCACTTTCAACATACCCGAGACGCCCGAGGTTTTATCAAAACGTGGAAACTTTCAAAAGAGATAGGAACAGCCGAACAGGTGGCTCGGCACTCGGCCGACCTACGATCGGCTCGGCCTCGCCCGAGCTGCGCGCGCGCGCTGTCACGCACTCACAGGCTGGTACATGTCGCTGCACAAAGAAGAAGAAAGACGAAACAGTCATGACATATGATTCATATGAATTCAAATCAAGTCACGTAGTATCCTGACTCGATTTTGCCAACAGGCCGTCAGAGAGAAATTGAAGCACAGGCCAAAACTCTTCACACAAAACTCAAAGAGGGCCAATGAGTATCTGAGGTTGGGAAAAATAATGATTTAGCGATGCAATGCGGACAAAAGGGAAAACAAATAAATACTACTAAACTGACATCCAAGACGTACTTGTGGCAGTCCACCCAACCCTCCACGCAATCGCTTAATGACTCCTGTCATGTAGTTAGTCCGACTCAAGCAACTAATAACGTAGAGTCAGCTTGTTGTTCTGAGTCAGAAGGGAGAACACCCAAAGAACTCGATTCATGGAAAGAACCAAAACAAACATGTTGCATTTTGACTCTTTGAGGTTACGAATGGACGACAAGTCAGGGACACAAATGGAGTCATTAACAGGCGGTAAGGTCCAATGAAATGCTCACCCAAGATACAGGATGTTGAGATGTTGAGATGTTAACGAAAGAATCAATCAATTCAAAGCATGGTTCGAAGAGTAGGTGTAGCGCTCCCAGCTTGCCTAAAGAACGAGTCTAAAAATAAATTTTTAGGACTCGTAATGTTTTCCCCTCGTCACATCTACTAGCGAACCCTGGCCGACCAAACACCGTTAAATCCACGCTAATCAACCCCTCCAACACCTCGCCTAATTTCCCCTTGAACTTACCCAGGTCAGTCTACGTTCGTCTTTGTTGCTCTGGGTTTTTCTGAACGTCTACAGTAATTAACCGGGAAGCGCAACATAACGTAGAAGCGCAACGGCGGTTATTTAATGTCATTCAGTGGCCCGAGATGTCCAAGACTTGACAGGGACGTACTACGGTATCGAATTAAGCGGCCTACAACAAGTTTGGGCCAAAAAGTCCCCATGTAGCTCGAAAACGGGACATGTTGAATCAGCAATCAGAAAGCTGCTGATTGTCATAAAAGTACCCTGCCGTTTTTTTACTGTGAAGTGCACAGAGAAGAAGGGCCAAGTGCATACATAAGTTTTTTAGGTCGCCGAAGACACCCATGTCAACGGCCGGTCCAAAAATGTATTCTGGTGCTTTTAACTGTGGACCATAATTTGTTGCGCTTCTACGTTATTTGGGTCAATTTGGCCTCCAAGAAAGATTGATCTCCAGTGGGCCCGCAACGGGTCCGATTCCCTAGCTGTAAATTGGAGACTTTAATTCATGTCCTCGAGATCCAGTCGACACTTTGGACTGAGTGATTTGGGTCATTGCCGGCTGAGATTGAGGTGAAACAACTTAATTGTTGCGGTTCCCGGTTAATTACTGTATTTGGAGATAATAATGTTCCTTCATTCAAATTGAACTCTCCCACCAGCGCTATCCCATCCCATGCTCCAATGTAAACTACATTCAACCACTTCCTTCCTTACAGCCAAGGACGGAACCAAAGGCGCGGTCAAAATTTTCTTGTTTTGGGATGTTTTCAAAGAATTGTTAATAGCTCAACCAGTTCTGCACCGATTTGGATGAAACCTAGGTAGTTCTGTCGGGCTAATTCATGCGCAATTGGTGACAGAAAACGATTCAGGAAAATATTATATATTAGGTAATCTGTGCTTTTGGACCATTTTCGTACCAAATACCATCTTGCATGTCCAGGACATGTCCCAATGACCTGATATTTTGGGATGGACAACATATATACCTAAAGGAACATGTGATAGAGCTGGAATTGCGGATATGTTAGGTACAGTCCTTGTAGCTCCATTGGATACATTTAGCACTTTTGGCATTCAGAAATATTGCAAGTATCGCATTTATATCGAGATCTTGTACAATTATGGCTCTGTCACATGTTCATTTAGGTATATATGTTGTCCATCCCAAAATATCAGGTCATTGGGACATGTCCTGGACATGCAAGATGGTATTTGGTACGAAAATGGTCCAAAAGCACAGATTACCTAATATATAATATTTTCCTGAATCGTTCTCTGCCACCAATTGTGCATGAATTAGCCCGACAGAACTACCTAGGTTTCATCCAAATCGGTGAAGAACTGGTTGAGCTATTAACAATTCTTTGAAAACATCCCAAAACAAGAAATTTTCGACCGCGCCTTCGGTTCTGTCCTTGGCTGTAAAAACTAACATAAACTTGTCCCATGTTTTGGATCCAAAACGCACACGTATGGAACTATTAGATGAATATGTTGTTCCTCCCATGATAACGAATTATCTTCAACCTCTCCTCCACCCACCTCCACCCACTGACCTGCCATTCGTCCCTTTCAGAGACACCACTAGTCTCTCTTGACAGACAATGACACTCGTAACCTCGTTCTATAGTCTGTTAGTTACCGCGGTCTGATTACCGTTAGGTCGGCTTATCAAAATTGATGATGATGCTTGCACAAACAAATCCCACTGAGACGTGTCTTTGACGCGCCAGAACAGTCTGAAAGATGAGTGCATTGCCTCAGTGTAGTATAATAGCCTCCTTCAGGGTCCCCGCATTTTTTTTTGCCCCCTCCATCTCTATTTTCACCATCTTCCCAAATTGGGCACATTATGGGCCATTTTGTATTGGTCAAGCTCTTATGCCCGGGAAAACCTCCAAAGGCATATCTGCAAACTTGTATCAACTCATTCGCACCTACTCTATTTTTTTGTGGCCTAGGAAGTCCTACGTCGCGTCAACTTCTGCACCCAGCGTTCCACGTGATGTCCCAAAACGGATGCTTATATAATAAGGCGACCTAACGGTAATCAAGGCGCGGTAACTAATAGACTAAGACACCACTGCAATAAGAAGATGTGCGCCTCTTTTCCCATACAACACATTGTGTCCTCAGCGGCGTGAACGTCTTTGATGAAATTCCCACGCAGTTGATTTCACTGTCTCCCGTGTAAAATTTGATTTCATGTGCATTTGAGAATTA